TCTGTTGTGTCGGTGGTGATTCCTGAATGTGTTGCCATCGCTCGCATTATTTAATCCTGTTTCAGCCGGGACGGCTGGTCTTTTACATCAGGGTGGGGGGGGGGGGGGGTCATGTAATGCGAGCGTAAACGGGGTTTGCTGCTGGGTTCTGGCCCAATCACACGGCCCGGGGTATTGGGGGGCGGAGCCCAGTATGGGGGGCGTGTGGGATGGGCCGCCGTTCACCTCGGGTCCAATTGGAAGCGAGGTGAATGGAGGTGGAGCCAGCAGGGTAGTATGGGAAGGCCGGATCTGACGATCCGGAAGAGGAGGAGTCAGGGTCACGTGGGAAATATGATATAGGTGGGAGCCCGTATGGGATCCGGGTCAGTTGCTGGAGTAAAGAGGCTGAGCCACGTTGGATGACCGGAGGAGATACATGTCATCGGCCATGTGGCTGAAGGATCTTCGGCACGCCGTGGGCCAGCGGTGTGCGGAGTGGGGGAGCGGAGAAGCTGACGAAGGAGCGCGCGTGGGCGCGTGAGGAGACACTGGTCCGCTGTCAGGACCAGCAGGGTGCGAGGAAAGGCAGAGGAGCTGACGAGGGAGCGCGTGCGGGGCGCGAGTGAGGAGAGGAGCCGACGAGGGAGCGCGTGCGGGGCGCACACGAGGAGACGCTGGTCCGTGGTCAGGACCAGCGGGGTGCGAGGAGGAAACTAAATAAAAGAGCAATGGAGACCACCAGTGCCTGACGAAGTATTTTATTACACATGTGTCACTTGACACCATGGACACCCTTGTGAATGAGAAGTTCAATCGAGCGACTTTCCAGGTAAACTATTTTAACCATCAACATCCTGGGGACTCACAACATGGGAGATGAACAAGGAAGCCAACATTACTTAGCACGAGGTTATAACCCTCACGAGACACTCCGTGGAAATGTGCTTAGGTGGTCAAGGTGACAGACACGAGCTTCGTATCGCACACAGCTCTCTAGACGCACCGCGAGACGCGTTACACGGTCGGCTTTGATCACTTCCAGACGGGAGCCAGGTCCACTCGCTACGCTCTCAGTGGGAGCTGCGCTCGCCATGACTCGTGGCTTCTCACTGATCGCCACTCGCTGTGGCTGAGAGACGTTGTTCCTTGAGCGCACACGGCGGTGACGAACCAAGACACGAATCGACTCTCACCTGCGTAGACAGGAGCGTTGCATTCACACCGGGGTGTTGGGGTTAACGGGTCGCGATTTTTACAAAACCCAGTGGCCAGGCAAACGGTGATGGTTTGTCGTCGGCTATGGTGAGGCTTTGTGGGTTTCTGCACCAAAACCGTACCTTGTAAAAAATTCGTATTAAAGTATTTTTTTTAAGTATGTCGTCTCTATCATTGCCATTTAGTTCAAATCAAGATTGCCATTTATTTGTTCATGATTTATTGAGCATGATAGTTTAAAATTGACGTTACAAAATTTAACTTAATATTGTTAATTATTTGACTAATTGTCTTCCAACTTCACGTGTAAATGAGTGGGGGATCAGGTGGGAGGGTAGGAGGGTGATCATGTGGGTGGTTGAGCAGGTGTGTGCGTGTAGGTGGAGATTGGTGTTGTAGAGGTTAGTGCGCTGTGCTATGAACCTGCCGATCCAAGTTCAATTCCCACTCATGGCCACCAACACCAATGACCATTGTCTGAACCGGTCATGGGCCTCCCTTAGGTCAATTCAGCCTGAACCAGTCATGGGCCTCCCATAGGTCGATTCAGACTCAAATGAGTACCTGGTGTGGAGTATAAATATCACCACTCGGGAGACAAAGGCGGCAGGGCTATGTGCTGGCCATCATGTGCCGTGCCGGCCTTCATAGATGCTCGCTAACAGCACTTGCCCAACAGTTTTTTCAGGCTATACGGGGGATCTTTGCCTTTTTGTGCGGGTGGATGAGTGAGCGGGTTTGCAGATGTTCAGATGGGAGGGAGATCAACCGGGAATGGGCGCTTGAATATGCATGAGGTTTGGCAGGTGGGAGGGTAGCAGGATGGGCAGGTGTATGGCCGAGCAAGTGTATGGCCGAGCAGGTGTGTGTGGGCAGGTATGAGGGAGGGTATCTGTAGATTGCTGGGGGGGGTAGTAGGTTAGGGAGTGGCAGGTGGCAGGTAAAAGAGTGTTGGATACAGGTGAGTGGGTGGTGATCATAATTACCAAGCATAGTCATTATCCTCATGATCGTGCTCTTCATCATCATCCATCAGTCAAGATCCATTCATCATCATAGCTCATGATGACGAGGAACAAGCAAACCAATTAAGAGTGCAGCTATAAATACCACGAGACGCGCCAAGGAATGTGGCCCAAGGCTACAGACAGCACTTACCTGTGAAGGCGTAAGCTGTAGATTTACAAACCGTGCCCGGGTTTAATCTCCGATAATATAGCATCTATACAAACAAAACAACAGTAACCATCCCCAAAAAATACGTGTTTACACAAGTCAGTCAGCCTCAGCTATGAGTCACATTCACAGCCTGGATGACAATCTTGAAAATATTTTTCAGATTTCATTTTTTATTCACCCAGAACACATTGACACTTGACCCACAAGACAATATGATTCACAGGTAACCCAGAACATAATCAAGACTGTATATTTACGCGATCTAAACCAATAAACCTTTATCATTGATAATATTGGTCGCGAAAGCCTACGTGTTCTAGTCGATTTGTTTAACCAGGTGAGAACTCAAGAGACCGGGATGAGTCTCGGTTGCAAGAGTGATGATAATGATGCTGCTTCTGCTGCTGATGATGATTATGTTACTACTGATAATAATTATATTATTATTGATGCTGCTAGTTCTACTCCTGATGCTGATAATGATAATGATGGAGCTACTGCTGTTGATGCTGCTGCTACTGTTACTAATTCTGCTGCTGAAGATGATGATGCTGATGATCGAGTCCAGTTTAATTTATTTTTAACGAGGTGAGAACTCAGGAGATAAGGACGAGTCTCATTGACAAGAGTGACCTGGGGCACAAAAATGAAAAAAGCACAACGAGTCAAACCCATGCCAGCAATGAAGCAAATAGAAATCTCACGCACAGCCCAGAGCGCAATGCGATTCGCGTTCACACAATTACACAACTGGTACGATATAATCAATGCGTCTCAAATTATCTACGCGTTGCTACACAGCCTGATAATCGAGGTTGGGTTCACACCGGATTGGTGTCTCACATTAAAGAGGGGCACTGCGGTGGCTCGGAGATGTTAACTCCCTCGCCTGGTATACATTAGGTTATGGGTTGGATTACGACCCTGAAAGCTAATATATATTTGGAGTTTGCGTCATTTTAATATTTCCCTTCTACGTGACTTTACCGAAAGAACCAGGAAGATGAATCCCCCATGTAGCCTTAACAGACTGTTGGGGCAAGTGCTGTTAGTAGCGAGTAGCACCGATGAAGGCCGGCACTGTGACACACGAGGGAGTGGGTATGCAGCACCACGCCCAGTAATACACAAAGACAAAGATACGCACAAACACATTAACAAAGCCACAAACACAATAACAAAGATACACAAAGACACGCACAGACACAGTAACAAAGACACAAATACAATAACAAAGACACACAAATACATGCACAGACACAGTAACAAAGACACAAACACAAGAACAAAGACACACAAAGACAAATACATGTGTAATGCGGGCGTAAACGGCCTCGCGGATGTGACGTCACGGGGGGAGGAGTTAGGTCACGTGAGAGAGAGGGATCAAGTTTTAAGGGGGAGAAACCGGAAGAGCAGGAGGGGAGTTGGAGAGAAATAGAGAGTGAGGCCACACAGGGGGGGGAGTTGGAGGGTGGCGAGATCGCCACACACCCAGGATAAGTCTCGGCACCGTCGGCCAGCGGTGACCGAGCACGGAGGAACAGGGAGCCAGTTGAGGCTGCAGTGAGGGCAGCCGGAGGCCTGCACGAGGAGATCAGCAGCGGAGCTGCATCAGAGTGGAGTGAGAGGCTACGGGAGCGACGGCAGCATCGGGCTGCCAAGCGAGGGAGTCTCGGAGAGAAAGCCGTGTGGGGCAAGTGTAAAGAACCCGAATAAAGGACAACGAAGACAGACACAGTTGTCGAGTCTTTTATTACACATGCACAGACACAGTAACAAAGAAACAAACACAATAACAAAGACACACAAAGACAAAGATACGCACAGACACAGTAACAAAGACACAAACACAATAACAAAGACAAAGATACGCACAGACAGTAACAAAGACACACACATAATAACAAAAACACACAAAGGCATAAACACCAATCCACTTACCCGAAGACAAAGATCTCGTATAGCTTTCAAATAATGTTGAGTTAAGGGCTGTTAGTGAGTTTCACCTATGAAGGCCAGCCTGGGAGAGACCCGCCTTTGTATCCCCAGGGGTAATGTTTACTCATCGCACCATGTACAGATAGTCCCCGAGTTACGATGGTCCGACTTACGATATTTCGATCTTACGATGGTGATAGCGATACGACAAAATTGTTAAATATTTTAAATTTCGCGCGGCATCAAACGCAGCAGTGTACGAGGTATGAATATTGGTGAGTACAGTCCAATATACGTTACGATACGTTCAATGCATGTATGATACGTAGCTTTAGCGATTTCATTTTAGGGTTACCCCGATACGATACGTTCAATGCATGTTAAAAGTTTTTTTCATAGCAGATCATATAGGTAGGCTAAGAATTTAACCTGTATTTTTACTTTACATTTTACTGTGCAATACAGTATTGTAATTAATAAATACAATATATAGTTTAAACAGTACGGTACTGTAAATTGCTCTGTTTTGCTAAATTATCACCATTCTTTAAGACTCCTGCGTAGGCTGAGCCATCTTCGACTTACGATATTTTTGACTTATGATGGGGTCGTCGTAACGCATCTCCATCGTAAGTAGAGGACTACCTGTAGTCATTTGAGGCTGAGTCGACCTAGGTGAGACCCAAGACCAATTCATATAATCGCTATCAATGTTTGTAAACCGGTCATGGTCCTCCCCTAGGTCGACTCAGCCTCAAATGAGTTCCTGGTGCGGTGTGTAAACATTGTCAGTGGTGCTGGCCACCCACCAAAACAAAAATACACACAAAGACACACACACACAGACACAAAGACACAGTAACAAAGACACACACACAGACACAGTAACAAAAGACACACACACAGACAAAGGCATACAGACCAACCCACTAACCCAAAGAAAATTATCCCCCGTGATGCCTTAACAGACTGTAGGGGCAAGTGCTGTTTGCTAGTAGCACCTATGAAGTCCGGCACTGTGGCACACGAGGGGGTCGGTGACAAGCACCACGCCAGACCCGCCTTCGTCTCTCCAGTGGCGATGTTTGCATATCGCAGCAGGTACTCATTTAGGCTCAGTCGACCGAGGGGAGAGCCTGGACCGATTCCGATAAACGTCACTGGTGTTGGTGAACCGGTCATGGGCCTCCCCTAGGTTGACTCAGCCTGAACATGTTTTTCCTAGTACTGTGTGTAAACATCACCACTGGGGAAACAAAGGCAGCTGCGCGTGGTGTTGACCACCCACCCCCTAGAGTGCTGTGCCGGCCTTCATAGGTGCTCGCTCACAGCACTTGCCCCAACAGCCTATTCACGCTATACAGGGGGATCTGTGTCTTTGTGTGCACGAGTCTGTGCGTTGTGCCCGTTTCTCTGCTCACACTCCGCGCTCTCAGGACGCACGACTCAGATCCAGAATCCTCACTGAGCTTCCATCACCATACACCCACAGTGCGGGTATGAGCGGTTGACTAAACGATTGGTGGACGGAGTGCAGCAGCTCCATAGAGTCGGCGCGGTAAAACGACAGCAGCCCCGCCTCCCAGTGCAGGTGACACCCGACTCTCCGGGGAGGATCCCTCACCGACACTGAGGTATCTACACCACCATGACGCACGTAGCAGCTGTTGTTATATTTATATAATACCCAGGATGAGTCGTTCTGTCCCAGCCCGCACTCTTCACCACGCCCTTTGCGTGCGATTATCCCGTACGTGACTCCAACCTCACAGTCCCCCGCCGCACCTCCCACGTCCACCTCCCAGTAGTGCTGACCCGACGAGAAGCTCTCGGAGCACAAGGCTTGGTAGTATATATCAAAGCGGTGTGGGTGATCGGGTCGACCCTGGGAGACAGCGGTCAGCATCACCGTCCTGAGGTCTGAGGAAATCTGGAGGTTGTTGTGGACCGAGTTTGGGTCCACAGTCGGTGAACGTCCGTCTGCAGTAACGATAATCACAGTAGCCGTGTTAACAACAGCACAACTATAACAATAGCACTCGTGCACTAATACGCACGGACAGTACAATAGAGCAATTCATAATGAGCAATATTACATAACGTTGTAATGCGTAGCTATCGATGTGATGACATGTGACGGGCACTTTGTGAATCCACTGCTGGATGAGGGCCACCCTACACCGTGCGGGTCGCGGGGCATATTTGACCATACTTCACCACACGGGTCCACCGCGCGTTGGTGAAAGCAGGCGGCGCGGCCGGCGAGAGCACAGAAGTACAGTACAGCGGTGCGTTTGTCTGCGCCGCCCTCTGCTGCCCCGCGACGTGGCCCCGCGGCCTGTAGCACCTGCTAGGCAGGGTGGTGGCTGCCCCGCCACGTGGCCCCGCAGCCTGTAGCACCTGCTAGGCATGGTGGTGACTGCCCCGCCACGTGGCCCCGCAGCCTGTAGCACCTGCTAGGCATGGTGGTGACTGCCCCGCCACGTGGCCCCGCAGCCTGTAGCACCTGCTAGGCATGGTGGTGACTGCCCCGCCACGTGGCCCCGCAGCCTGTAGCACCTGCTAGGCAGGGTAGTGGTGGCCGCCCGTGCGAGTCCTGCCCAGGCCCAGACCCTGCGGGGCTTTGCGAGGTGCCAGGAGGTGCGGCGCACTGCGGGCGCTCTGTGCGCTGGGGCTGCACAATTTGGGGAGAATCTCTAAGTGAGATTTTTCTGACAGATATTGCGATTTGATTTGCGATGAAAAAATGTAAGTCAAGCTTCAGTTCAATATTCACTGTGTAATAGATTTAAAATACGTGATGGAGCATTACCACATGATACCATCAAGCTATGAACTGCTCTATATATTCTTATGCAAGGATGAGAGCCTAAAATATATGAATTGCTTCTAATATGTATTTATTAAAATGTTTTAATTTAAATCGGACGATTAAACATAGAACATTTGTTAAGTTAAATAAAAAAGTAATAATAAAACACTAAATAATTCCAATAAGAAAGTAATAGGACTTTTCAAATCGCAAAAAAATCGCAACCTTTGCGATTTTCAAATCGCAGCCTTTGCGATTTGCTAATTGCATTGTTTCAAATTGCGATTTCAATTTGAAATCGATTAATTGTTCAGCCCTCCTCTGTGTGTGGACAACAAACAAAAACATCTCCCGTGTCACCCTTCACAGACTGTAGGAGCAAGTGCTTTTGGTGAGCACCTGTGAAGGCCGGCACGGCACACGAGGTGGGTGTGATAGTGTAGTGATGTACACTCGTGTGTGTGTGATAGTATAGTGATGACTGCGGTGTGTAAACATCGCCACTGGGAAAACAAAGGCAGATCGGGCGTGGTGCTGACCACCCACCCCTCGTGTGCCGTGCTGGCCTTCATCGGAGCTCAACAACAGCACTTGCCCCTACAGTCTGTTAAGGCTATACGAGTGATCTGTCTATATAAACGTATCGGTATTTATTGATACGTGTTCTTTAGTAATAAACTTGTTGCATGTGTAGTGATTTACACGGGCAACTCAACTGTCTAATAGAACCTAAAGTTCCCTTTGATTCTGAGAGCTTCAGGTTGTAACAATGAACCCTAAGAATCCTCAAGGTGTTGGATCTCGCTGCCTCAAGCACTAATAACACTATGTAACACAATTTTGGTCCCTGGCTAGTGTTATCGTTTTTATTGCTTATGCCTAAAAATATAGAAAATGGCTATTATTCCCCACAAACTTTGCTTTTGTGACAAGGACAGTGATATTTTGAAATGTACCTATTTTTAATGTGATAACGGACGAATGTGTCTTTTCGTTCAAATAAAGTCAGCAAAAAAACAACATATGAATCGAAATGAACATATATTTATACTAAAGTATCACAAAAAATACTACAAAATATTTAGAAGTGAGTAGTTTATCGAGATTTACGATTGAACTGTAAATCACTTTCACGAATCAGCCCCCAAATGTAATCTCCCATCATGTTCTCGTTATCCTGTCATTGGTAGTGGCGTTCAAAATCCAGTATATCCTGGTGGAAGCGCTTGCCCTACTCCTCCGAGTACACTCCCATGTTCTCCTTGAATTTATCAAAATGAGCAACAAGGATTTGGACTTTGAGGGACATCCTACAGCCAGTCTTAATCAGCTACATATAGTTTTCGGTCTTGTGATTGCCCAGGAAGCCCCAAACCACTACGACAAAGCTGTTCAAAGCCGCTTTTTCCTTACAGTGAGCTTCTTGGGGAATTCATTGCACTACAGGATCTTCTTTATCTGTGGTCCGACAAAGACACTGGCTTTGACCTTTGCCTCAGACAGATTAGGGAAGAAGTCTTGAAGGTACTTGAAAGCTACCGAAACCTTATCTACAGCTCTGAAATATTATTTCATGATGCCCAATTTGATGTGCAGTGGTGGCATCAGCACCTTCCGGGGGTCCACCAGTGGCTCCCACTTGACGTTGTTCCTCCCAACAGAGAACTTGGTCCGCTGTGGCCAGTCCTACCTGTGGTAGTGTGCCTCGGTGTCCCTCCTGTCCCAAAGGCAAAGATAGCAGGGAATCTTGGTAAACCCACCTTGGAGACCCATTAGGAATGCCACCATTTTGAAGTCTCCGATGACCTTCCAGCCATACTCATCATACTTCAAGGCATCCAGCAAGGTCTTGATGCTGTTGTAACGCTTTTTGAGGTGCACCGAGTGAGCCAGCGGAAGAGACGGGTACTTGTTACCATTATGGAGCAGCACGGCGTTGAGGCTCCAGGATGAGATGTCAATGAAGAGGCGCCACTCATTCTAGTTACAGGCGATTCAGATTGCCTCAAACAGACTAGTCACATTGTGGCAGAAGCAGAGCCCATCTTTACGGATGAAGAAACTGCAAAAAGGCTGGTGACGCTTCCTCTGATCTGCGACTTGCACACTTGCATCCAACAAGTTTAACGGCTTGAGCCTAGATGTCAAAAGCTTGGCATTGGACTTGGTCAGACCAAGATCTCTGATCAAGTCGTTGAGGTATTTTTGGTTGGGGTAGTATGGGTTTCTCTCCTCAGCTCCACCTCTGAAATTGTCATCTGGATCTACAAAATCTTACTCACTCTCTGACTTGCTGCTCTCTTCTAAAGACGGCTGCTCTCTCTCTCTGGAGGAGTGGGTGTGGGGAGCTCATTGCAGTGTGACACCGTGGCGATGGATAAATGAAGGTCCAGATACGTAATATCAGATGCATTATTGGCAGTCTGACGTTTGGAAGGGTTCACCATGTAGAAGTAGCAATTGCTTGAGTGGTCAGTGGATTCCCGCCAAATTCTTGGGATAGCGAACTTCATGGCTCTTTTTTCCCCTCTGTACCATCCTACAAAAATACATTTATTTCACCCATGACTAATGTGTAAGAGATTTTCGCAACATTTTTCATATATGATATATTTTTTCAATAACATTGAAAATTGTAAAACATTTTAAACCTTAAAAAAACTTTTACAATGACATTTTTTAAAACAAATTTCATAACATAAAATTCCAAGCAACAATCGTCCATCTTACCTTCCAGAGTTTTTTTTGCATTGCTCGCAGGTGAAATGAGGTCCCAGGGTTTGTCTTGACCCCCGACAGGCATGCTGGAATATGCCTTGTAGGCCTCAAAAATCTTGACAGATGCTTCCACAGAGTACGTTTTCGCTCTTGTCTTGATAAATTGGCCGCAGACATAGCAAAATGCGTCTGCCGGATGCTTGCAGCCTCTTGATGCCATCTCATAAAAATGAAGATATGCATCCACTTAGGCAGCAGGAACTAAACTGAACTGGTGGGCTTAAGGCCCTTATATTTATACTTCTTTTTATTACTGGAAAGTTCTAGAATTTTCTAGAAGGTACTACTCAGCACTGAATCTATTTGGAATTCTCATTGAAAATATGTAAATTTCAAAATATCACTGTCCTGGTCACAAAAGCAAAGTTTGTGGGGAATAATAGCCATTTTGTGTACTTTTGAGGCATAAGCAATTAGAAAATAACACTTACTACCCAGGGACATTTTTTTTATTACACAGTGTAATGAATCCTAAGAATATCAGCCATAGCTGTGTGTGTCAAAGACTCAGTGCCGTTGATGCTGAGAGCTTCAGACATTAACACGGAACCCTACACATCCTAACTGTGTCTGAGTCTGTATCACGCTGCCTCAAGCACTAATAATGAATCCTAAAAATATCAGCCATAGTGTATCTGTGTAAAATACTCACACGCAGTATAGCAATAGCATCCTCACTCAATTATACACACATGTAGGGTTAATATAGCTCAAGCAATACTCCTGTACACTAGTGTGTTTGTGCTGTATGTGAACATAGAGGTATTGCAATACATGGGCAATAGCAATGTATCCGTTTGCACAGTGATACATGTGATTAGCCACAGCGATAGCCCAGTCTGGCTCTGTGAGCCTTGGGTATTAACATAGAACCCCAATAATCTTTAAGATGCCTTAGTAGGGATATGGCAGCCTCAAGCATTATGAATGAATAATAAGAATCCTTAGGCTGCCTTAGTCTGGTTATAAGCCTACAGCATTAACAATGAACCCTACGCATCACTACGGTGATGTAGTCTGGCTCGAGTCTGATGATGCCATCCATTACAGAAAATACTTTTACTCGTAGATTCATCTGCTACGATGGTTACTCTGGCCAACAGCATCTTCACTGGATAATACACACGTGTAATATCAATGGAGCTTATGTAATAGTGAAATACACTCGTGTGTGTGCTATATATTATTGTCTAATGAATACATTACAATCGTAAAGTTGATGTTTGCACGTGCAGTGTAGTGATAGACAAGGTTGACCATGGTTATGCCTTAGTCTCGCTCTGTGAGCCTCAGCCATGAACTGGGGAACCTAAGAATCCTAAAAATGCCTTAGTTTGACTATCTGAGCATCAGGCTGTTGACATGAAGCCTAAAAATCTTCAACGTGTCTTAGTCTGGATGTATGATCCTTGGGCATTACCAATCGACCCTAAGTTTATATAATCCATAATAGAGGTTTTTGGGGGTTAGATCGCTTAAATATATCAATGTGTCGTTAAAACCCACCATCAACCGACACAGACAACTAGTAAGGGTTGTCACGTAAACAGAACATGCCAATTTGTCACTAGTACAGCACGCCGGTGTGTTGGAGAGCCAAGCCACAACATTATTGAAATTTATATTGATGTAGTTATGAAAGCCATTTCACCATATGAATTCTGCAGGCCGATTTTGTGTCTGCAGAGCTGATGCTTACAGGACGTACCCGGTACTCGTTTAAGCCAAGGGTTCATCTGGGAGAGGCTCAGAATTGGTTCTGAATCCACTCATCATTGATGATAGCCATGGCCGTGAGTCACGTGGAGGTGACCATGTTTGTAGCTCAGTGCACAGAGCATCCCATCATCATTTCACATCCGTATTCACTCTCGCTCATGTACACATACGCACACAAACAGACAAACAAGCTGGAGGGGCAAGTATTGTTAGCGAGTGACACTTCAAGGCCGGTATGGCACACGAGGGGGTGGGTGGCCAGCACTACGTCAGGCCGCCTTTGTCTCCCTAGTGGCGGTTTTAACACACTACACCAGGTAGTCATATGAGGCTGAGTCGACCTAGGGGAGGACCATGACCGGTTCATAAAATCGTCACTGGTGTGGGCTATGGACAGGAATAGAATTTGTGTCGCGAGGTTCATATTGTAGCATGCTAACCACTATGCCACCGCTCAGCAACATACACCCAAGACACAATTACATGCACAATAACACACACAGGTAGTAAGAGTCCGTGGAACTCACACATGAATGCCAGCAGGTTGACCACAGCTCCCTGCAGGGCGCTGATCGTAGCGATGTCTTCTTCACCGGGAAATGAGGGTGGATCTCCCTTTTGAGCGTCTCTCCTGTGAGACCAGAACCAGCAGTGACACACACAGCCAGTGTCTTACACAGCATCATTACACACAGCATCATAATTCACAGCATCATCTTTCACAGCATCATCATACACGGCATCATCACACACGGCAACATTGCACACAGCTTCACAGCACACATCATCACACAACCCTTGTCTTACACAGCATCATGCCACACATCATCACACAACACAACATAATCACACAGCATGATCATCATACATCATCATCATCACCACACATCATCACACAGCCCAAATTCCACACAAGGCGTCACCCTGTGTGTTTATTTGTGCGAGTTCATGAGTCCATACCGGTTTGTCTCCTTCAGGTGAACCTGCAGGAGTCAGACACAAGGGGCGCTAGTCAGTTCACCTCCAGCCACGTTAACCACACGGTGATTGGTAGACACGACGATCTGGGCTGCGCTCAGCCATTCGCGGATACCAGTGTTGTTGGTTGTAAACAAGGAAAAGCCGTGGACTCGTTTGGACTCGATGGTTCTCATCAGCAAAGTGTGGCCTCTAAAACCGTGACCACATGGTACCCGATGTCACGGGCAGGAGGCGCCCATAGCACTCGACATCGAGTCGCAGTGATTGTTAACCAACATTCAAAATAATGATCCACTGCGAGAGTGAATTACACCCTGAGCGTTGCGTTACCAGAGTCCATAGTTTAGCAGGGTTAACATTTGTTGAGGCAGGCAATCTCGGGATTGGTGTCAACGTTCTAAGACTCATAAGATGTCAGTGCTGAAATATAACTCCCTCTGGCTTTCCTGATGTGAAAAAGCCCTTCCGTTATCAGCATTACTATTGGTTGGTATACATTTTGTTAAATTTATCATTTAAATTTAGTGTCAAGTGGCCTCAATCTGATGTACATTACAGGATGATGAGGTTACAATTTTATGTCAATGCCTGCATAGATTAACAACCAATTAACTCAAGGGATTTGTGTGTTAATCGTTTATTTCTTCTTTTGAAATTCAGCGGTAGTTCCTATTTTTATTAAAACATACAAATTCAAGTTGGTGAACTTAACTCTACGTTTACTTTTAGATCCCATGGGCTATATTTTGCATTGACAATGGAAGTGGCGTGACATTGTGTTTTGTGTTGCAACGCATGTGCCATGTTTACAAGTGCAATGAACACGCGAACAGGGACACTCGCCCTGGATCCCTGAATGCTCTACCTGCAGGAACATGAGCGAGTCCCTCTCCTCCTGCAGAGTGCGCAGGCGCGTGGCTGCTGCCTGGAGCTCGCTGATCTCGTGCTCGTAATGAGCGATGTTCTCCTCAATCCGGGACAGCAGCTCACGCCCCTTCACGTCCACGCGATCCAGAGCTGCCCTCTCGTCCTCATCCAGCGTCACCCTCATGTGGGTGAACTCGTCTGAGATGCGAGCCTTGGTCTGGAGCATGCAATCCTGCAAAGGGCGTGTGATGAATTCTATAAATTCATATTCCATGCTGTTAAGACCAAAGTCACATTGCTTTCCGGTTTCTCGAAACCTATTTTCCCCTTATTCCACGTTATGTCTTTGGACTCAAATCTCATTGAACAGGTCGATAACTTCAGGTATCTAGGTGCTATCTTGCCCTTCACATTGATAGTATCGCCAGTAAGATTTAATAAACGAATCCTCTATAAATAAACACATTTTCTCACCTTGGCTCCATCTTGATATAATCCAAGCCGCCATCTTCCCCATCTTTGACTCCTGTTAAATCATCAACCGCCTAGCCTCTTGTTCCATTATACCACCTGGCCGCCCACTTTGACCTTGATGCCTCCATATCAACACATTATTGCAACCTCTGTATCACCTCCAATTTATCCCCCCTGGATATGTTTAGAAACCATCACTGGGCTGTCTTCATCCTAAGATTCCTTTTAAACAAATCCGCCAAATATGTAAGGACCTCTTAACTCCGCAAATTCCCAGTCGCAACCTCAAAAGTACCTCCCTGTTCTCTCTAAAATTACCTTATATTAAAACAAGGTTTTGCAACGCGTCCTTCCACACTGCTGATACTACTCCACGTTACTGGAGTGTCCTTGCCTCTCAGCCTAGGCTGGGCTCCTTCCCCAGCCTCCAACACGATTCGAGAGCTGCGTGATGAGTGAGATATGAACCAGTGCCTGACTCTACCTTCATCAACCTGTATTGACCCACTCAATTAAGTATGGCCAACTAGCCTCAACGATCAACACGATGTTGCGGAACCTTCGTCCAGAAGTGTATTGGTGAGGATCTGTAAATGTTCTTAGGTTTTTTCGGTAAAGTCACGTAGGTAAAACATTAAAATTAATAAAAGTAAAATAAAATAAAAATCACGACGTTTCGGAGGCAACACAAGTCTCCGTCATCAGGTGGGACCGTCACAGCCAGATTTGCTGCATCAAGTGAGGCAAGGATTCAAGATGTAATCCCTTAAATGCAAGTTGAGGGGGGAGGAGAGGGGAGGGGGAGCTCATCAGAATGTGGTAGCCAATGAATAAAACGTATTAGGAGGGAGGGGAGCGGGGCTAAAAGAAGGCACGAAGCGCTACGTAGAACGTATCGGGAGGGGGAGGGGGGCGGGGCCAAAAGGATGGACGACGTGGTACACGAGAGTCGGCGGCGTGGACGTGGTTGTGTGCAAGCAACTATTGTTGCACACGCCAACGTATTGGACAGAGAGGGGGAGGGGAGGCCAAAAGAGAGTGTGGGGTGCAAGTGTACGTGGACATGTGTGTGTACAAGCACCTGTTGATACACATGAGAGAAAAGGAACGAAAATGCCCATGTTCATACCAGTGCTGGCTGAACAATAAAGAGAGTACTGTTAAACACTGGGGATGTTAACACTCGGTAAAGGAAAGTAAAATAGTGCATGTCAGATAAGATGGTCCAAAAATGTGTAATTAAGTCTTTTTTGCGTGGTTGATAACATCTTTCCAATGATTACTACGTTTGTACCCATCATCACGGTTGAAATTATGTCTGTATTTGTATATTTGTATGGCTTCGTGTACAAACCTTTGATGGTAGCCAGGAGGTTTGCAGAGAACCTTGGTCTCGGAAAAGACAATTTCATGAGAGCCCACAGAGTTGTAGCAATGATCGGCAACGGCCGAAGAATCAGTTCTGCCGTGTTTCAGATCTGACTTGTGCTCGCGGACACGATCAGAAACATGACGTTTCGTTTCTCCAATTTAGCAATCACCACAAATGCAACTCAATTTGTAGACTCCAGGATACTGTAAGTCAGGAACGACATCCTTCACAGATGGAATCAGATCACGGATTTTATGCACTGTACTGAATCGGACTTGGATCTTATGTTTGTTTAGAATTTTGGAGATCTCTTTGGTCACGCCTGCTATGTATGGTAACGTGATAGTTTTGGTCGGAGTTTCATGTGGCTGTTTCTGTGTGGTGGGAGAAACAGCTTGGCGGATAGTGCGGTCAGAGTATCCGTTCATCCTGAGGGCCCGATGTACATGTCTTAATTCACCGGCCAAGTGGTGTTGGTCAGAAATGCCATGGGCTCTGTGGTATAGCGTTTTGATGAGAGAATTCTTTTGAGATGGGTGGTGGTGGGAATCCGGTTTCAAGTAGGAATCTGTGTGGGTGGCTTTCCTGTAGACAGAATGTCCCAAGGATCCGTCAGGCCTCCTCTCAAACAGAATATCCAAGAATGGTAGTTTACCGTCTTTCTCCACTTCCATGGTGAATCTGATGGATGGGTGTCTAGAATTGATGTGGTCCAAGAAGTGGTTCAATGCTGGGAGGCCATGTGGCTAGATGACGAAAGTGCCATCCACATACCTCTTCCACAGGGAAGGACGCAGGGTGGATGTCTGGATGGCGTCTGATTCAAACTTTTCCATGAACATGTTGGCTATAACTGGTGACAAGGGGGAGCCCATAGGGGTACCCTCATTCTGTTTGTAGAAGGTGCCATTCCAGGTAAAATAGGTGTTGGTGAGGCAATGCCTAACCAGCGCAGGTGCATCAGAATTCAATCCATGTTGGACTAAGTCCTCAATTATTATTAGGGTGTCCGGTACTGGGACTTTGGTAAACAAAGATACTACATCAAAGCTGACGAGGATGTCATCAGGAGATAGTACCATGTCCTTAACCATAGAGACTAATTGGATTGAGTTGAGTACTGCCTAAGAGGTCTTGCCTGTGAAGGGAAGGAGAGTTTATCGTCGACACGATGGGTCGTAGCGGGGTGCCTTCTTTATGGATTTTGGGAAGACCATAGAGTCTGGGAGGTCTAGCCGCCGATGGTTTTAGAGAGGGACGTTTGCTTGGTTCAATTAGGGAAGTCGAACTCGTGATGATACTGTTGGTTTTTGTCGTTAGGCTTTTAGTAGGATCGTTTTTAATTTTTACTTTTATTAATTTTAATGTTTTACCTACGTGACTTTACCGATAAAACCTAAGAATATGAATCCTTGCAGTCACGAAAGCTTCAAATCTAGGATCTGTAAATGATTTACAAAAACAGATAAGCACACGATTCGCCTTCTTCATAGATTTATCTCTGCATATCACCAATAAAAGTATTTTGTATATAATCTATTGGCCCCATGGCTTTTTGTCACTGCATTATTTTATCAGTACAGGCAGAACTCGCTAAACGCTCAATATGCTTCTTGAAGAAGTGAGCACTTATCGAATCGGCGCTAAAAGTGGTCATACCGTTGCATATATGGGGATGCGTTCCTATCAGGGTTATTGCTTTCGGATGACCAATATATGAGGGATTCATTGGGGTATTGGTAAAAGCACCAATTATTCAAAGATATTAAACCATATTTCATTAATACAGTTTTTTTTTACTATAATAACCTCATTAATAATGACGTACTGTGCATAACACTGTACTCCTGCTACCATGGCAGCAGTGGCAGACGAGGGTGGAGGAGCTGCTGCGCTCCCAGTTCGGGGTCATTCTCAGAAAAGAGCTCCAGGACCTCCGTTATCTTAGCGGTGACCTCAGTTTACATTTCTCTGGTCAGGTTTCTTTTAGATGGAACCTAGTAAAGGCATATTTTATCAAACGTTTGACCTTGTTACTTATTGATTGTTATTGAAAGAGCCAATCGTATGGGGAATTGTTAGCGTTTGAAACTGAATGGTAAATTTGTGTCTGATGGAATGAGTGGTATTTTTGCTCCAACAATCAGCTTTGCTTTGATTGTGCGTATTTGTATTTAAGTCTTGTACCATTACATAATCCTCACAATGACATTAGATTTCTAATGACCATGATAACGGCTCCTACTTTAAGTTTTAGTTCATGAGAGGCATTCCGGTTGGAGTAACCCTTTAATAATTATTCCGAAATGCAAGTTGATCAGCAGTATCATCACAATTGTATCCATGCTTTTTAAAACCACTTCAGCTCCATTAATATAGCTGAGTACTTTATTGTTGAGCTCAAGAGAGTCTCCATTTGTAATAGTATTGCTCTTTCTTTAAGTTCTTCAGGAGTAATCGTAGACAAGTCAATATCATCGTTGCGCAAATGTATCTTGATTTTCTGGATAGCAGTATGAGGGTAATGTCACTGTATCACCTGTTTTCCATCACCAACGTTCAGGAGCCATTCCACAAATTCCTTTTCACTTTACAGAGCTCGCATATTCTGGTTCAGCTTCATCACCTGTAATTCTCCCCATAAACGATGCTTCTTTATACAACTTGCAACAGTAAGAGGCCGTGGACCACGTAAAGTAACAGGTAGGACTTGCCTCCAAATCGTTTACATTTTACTGTTTGATCACCCAATAATCTATAAACAGTCTGACACACGTGTGTGCTTCATCCACGACTGTTCGTTTCGATTGGAATAGATTTCTGGTTTCTTGTTTGGCTTTATATTGCAAGTCAATGTTGCTGTTATTTTAAAGGGATTTTGGAGACTGAATGAGCAGATCAGCCTCCAGCTAATAGTTTTGCTGGTATTCCTGTTGACGCAATTGGTGTTGCTATATCTCCTCTAGTATAAAGTAGTATTGAGTATACGAACGTTTTCCCCATTCCAGCAGGACCATAAAAAAAACCTTTAGTGATATCATCTGAATCACCGTACACCATGTTTAATAACACTGCGTGAAAAACTTGTTCCTGGGTAGTAAGTGTTGTTTCCTAATTGCTTATGGCTCAAAAGTACAGAAAACGACTATTATTCCCCACAAACTTTGCTTTTATGACCATAACAGTGATATTTTGAAATTTACCTATTTTACAGAACATTCCAGATAGATTCAGTGCTGAGTTAAATTGAAGTAGCTTCTAGAACATTCTACAACTTTCCAGGAATATAAATAGTATAAATACAGGGGCCTTAAGCCCACCAGTTCAGTTTAGTTCCACCTGCCTAAGTGGATTCATATCTGCATTTTTCTGAGATGGCAACAAGA